ACACCAACCCAGTTGTGTTCACGCTTCTCCTATCACTATCACACACCTCTCACCCCCATAATTCTGCACATCTGTCATACTTTGGCAAGGCAGCTTTTGGAACTGGGCATCATGTTTTCAGCATCATCACAGCTGTCCGTGTCTGTAGGATCCCTTTCAGACCTGAATGAATCTCCTCATAATAAGAGATTCCTGTTACTGCTGTACTAAAAAAGATACTTGCTGTCCCATGGACTGGGCCAACTGACATTTCCGTTGCTGGTGAGATTGCCCAGCATGAGGAGGTCAAAAAAGACCTTCTTTCAGACCAGTCTGAAAGCCGTACAGTTTCTCCAGGCTTGTCCGTCACACCTATCCTTTCAAAGACTGTAATAGTTGGAGAACAAGGACTGACACATAGTATGATGCCTTCAAAACCTAAGCTAGGTGACTATGGATCCTGAAGGCTGTCTCTTTTACCACTGATTGCAGCTTGTCACCCAGTTCTTCAAATATCCTCAGAAAGCTTTTGCATTACAAATGAACCTATTAAACAAATAGCTCTTTTCAACAGAAATACATACCTTTTTTTTTTTTTTTTTTCCTGTGGACCCATCATTTTCCACCTACATGCGCACAAAGAGGACCCAATACTAACTGCTGTCCTCCTTTCCATCTTAAGCGTCCACCAGCTCAGCCCACTTTTGACAGTCACAGCCAAGGAGGCTGAGGGGATTGTGGGGAAAGGATGCAGCTTTGGCTCCAAATTACATACATGGGAAGGACTGATAGGACAATGCAGCTGGATGCTAAAGCCATTTGCTACGGTGCTATTTTGCTGTTTTCTGTTTTCCATCTTTGCCAGTCATTAGTGCTGAATTGGTGAACTGGAATGACTGAAGTGCAACCGTACTTATTTTATGGCTGCTCATCCTTACCTAAGCTGAAACTAGCTTGGATGATACAGCTCTTTGTGCTACAGCTACAGCTAAGAAACAGTCTTCTTTCCAACCTTCTTCAGCCACTTTTTCCACGCTTACACTGATATATTTAGGTTTTGATTAAGGCAAGGAATAAAAAGGCAATTTTTTACCCTTTAGGGAATACAAATAATATGGTGTTTAACTGAAACAGATGTAATAAATCTCACATAGCCCCTAAATCTTACTGAGAAAAAATCTAATTCTAGCAAGAAAAAGCATGTTAACTATGGTTGGGATTGTGTGCCTCCCATAAGCATAACATTGTCATTCTTTCATTTTCACTGCTAATTCCTACCTTAAAACATAGCTGGCAAATAATTTCTTAATTAAGTAACTATTCTGCTTGCATGTTTAGTATCAAGTTCTTGGCCTTAGGGTATCTCCTTTTATTAATGAATGATGTTTACCCTCAGGACAAATTTTTCTTTTTTTTTTGGCCAGGTGCAGTTTTAAAAGCTTAGTGGGGCCTCCACATTTTTATACCTGTTTGCGTGAGATGCATGGTATTATTCTGTCCAGAATTCCAGCTATGTGACATACCAAACAGTACACTTCTAGACTTGCAGTCTTCTGAAGTTCTGATGTTCTCAATACCTGCACTATTCTTATGGTGATAGTTGGTCAAAACCTAGATGATTCCAATGCAAAATATATATGCATTGATGCATCTGAGAGAACTCTTAAAAATAAAAATTAGCAGCAAGCTTTCTTGCCTCATTTAATACAAACTTCACCAAGTGCTTATTTAACATTTAATGGCATTATATTGTATGTATTTTTTAAATAGAGTGTCTTAAAAGCTATGATTAGGAACATTCATGCTGTCATTTAAATGTTATAAATTTACTGCTAGAATTCAATTTTTTTGTAAAGGAATAAAGTTTTTTAATATTATCTTAAGGAATCTAGATATTGGATTCTTCAGCAGACAATTAATTACATTTCTATTCACCTACTATTTAAACATATTTAAGTATCTGACATCTCTGGGAGATAACACTACAGACTTGTGTACTTAGTTGACTAAGTTGGGCACAGCTACCCCAGCTGACATAACTTTCCAACGTGACAGGAGTTGGCATTAAGATTAGTAATCTTTGCAGGAGTCAAAGACTAAAATGAATATATAAAGGCTATGTTACAATTGCACCAACTGAAGCTGAGGTCATAAATATTGCTGCATATCCAGATCTTTGGATTTTTTCCATCACTGTTTGAAATCCAAGAGTTCTCAGCTGTCTGATCTCAGTATTTCAATCTGAGAAATGAGGCCTAACATTTTTTTCAAAGAATAAATGGGTATATGAGAGCTATTTAAAGCCACAGCTAAATAAGCTGTACTCAATCAAAGGAAGTTCCTTATCATTTTAGAACCATGAGGAGAGACATCATGAAGAAAGTTTTTTTTCTCCAAGTAAGTGTGCTTAAGCACTATTAAGAAGGGAAAGCAAAGTGATATTACACCCCCTTGTCACTGCTGCTACCATTGCATAGGTGGTGACAGCTTCAGGCCACTTTGAAGGGACACAGAATGAAGAATTGGGGCTTACAGATGCCAGTTGCTGTGGTGTAGCACGACCTCTTTTGTCCGCAACAGCCCTCCCTATCACTTCCCAATGTGCAGAAGCAGCAGCAAGCCTGACTGTTCCAGACTTCTTTCCTGGTGCTTTCTTCTTTGTCTGTCCCTCCCCTCTGTCTGCAGGTACCTCTCTTACAGCCTGCTCTGGCTCAACTGTGACCACTTCATCCCTTGGCTGGCAAAATTCAGTACATTATTGAGAAGCCTTGAGTAATTTCTGTTAAGATGGATTAACTAATGTCTTCTGGCATGATATCATGTCACTAGAATGTGACAGCCCTGACTAGTCCTTTCTCAGCTGTCCAAGAAGCCTGTGACATGACTGGAGATGGAGTAATCATGAGCCAGGATAGCTGGCAAAATTCCATCTAAGTATTTCTATATGCTAAAGGAATACTCAGCCACCAGGGAGGTGAGTTTTTGGGAGCAGCATGAAGCAGACGGAACATTCTTCTAATTTTCCTCTGCTCTAATGGTAACTTTTTTTGTCTCAAAGAGCTTGACATGATGCTTCCATTTTTTTGCCACGTCAATGTGAATAATGCACATATCTTGTCTGCTGTGAACTGTTAAAAATACGCACGGTTCACACCATCTTCTTCTAGTGTTTCATAGCCTCAAGATAGTCTTGACCATTTAACCTGACTGCATCATGCCATAATGGTATTTCAGGAGTATTTATTTCATTATACTATACACTTGTCAGTACACGACCAAAGTGCCCAGAAGTAACAAAAACCTACCTGACTTGAACTCGTAAAATAATGAAAGCACACCATTTAAAATATTTTGAATCCTGATACGAAAGGGCAGTGTTATAAAGAATGTGGTTCACAGTCCTGTAAGTTGTATCATGTGTGAATTTTAGGAAAAACAGTTCAAAAGTTCAAATACTCAAAGTAATTGAAAAAGAAAATGTAAAAAATCAAAACTTAACTTCCCTGAAGATTGTATCTGAAGAAGGATAAAATAGAAATCTTTATTTTACCTTTTGACTGCAAAATGTGTTTTAGTGGATTTGACAGCTCAGGATTCAGGCTGAATAGTCAGCTGAGTACAGTGTCTTCTTTGACTTCTCTTTGCCAACAGTTGTGGCTGCAGTTTCAAATTTTTTTTTAACATGGATCTATGTTCTGTGACAAAACCTGATTGTTCTATATGAAAAATGATCTCTTAATGGTACAGCCTTATAAAAGCCTATAATGAAATCTTGGCAT